GACTTAAGTTTCAAGTTAAGAAAAGAGTAAAGAGTTGAGTTCATTTCTCAAAAAGCTATTAGGGAACTAAGTATTTCCAAAGAGTTTATAAATGTTTTCACATTTGAGCATGAAAAGGGAACATCGATTCCAAGAGAGCTTTTAAGTTAAGTTTTGAGTAATTATCTCAAACCAAAGAAAGAAGTTTGTTTTTAAAACATATGAGCTAAGTATATTTTTGGTTGTCGGTTAGAGAAACTCCCACAGCAATAATTGCATGGTTCCTCAAGGGGTTCTGCTTAGTATGAATGGGGGTATGGGACTTCATTCATGCATTGCACAAGTAGACTTTGAGAGGGAGCATGGTATGTCTTTTTTGATATTATGATTATGAGTTGACATCATTGTTTTAAACAATTTTCCTTTTTCTTTATATTCCACTTGTTTTAAACTGCTTTATAATGAAATGAGTTCAGTTAAGTATTCATGAGTTAGAAGAGCCAAGGTAAGTGTTTCTTTTAGAATCTTTTCAAGCTTATGTTATGTTTAGCATTCCAACTTGCATACTCGTACATTCAATGTACTGATGCCAGTTGGCCTGCATCGTCATATGATGCAGACGCAGGTAACCAGGATCAGCATCTAGCGCCCCGTTGATCCATCTTGAGCATTCAGAGTCTGTTGATGAGCCTCTTTGCATTCCGAAGGACTCCTTTATTTGCTTTCTAGTCTTTTAGATGTTAGGATGACCGGGGATCCTGTCCCGACACCCCTCTTTGTTTTAGAGGCTTCATTGACAGTTAGTAGTCATATGTCTTTACATTATGATTTCATATGCTGAGACTTGATTTGCCATTTTGGCCAAGTTGAATGTCGACTATTAAACCTTCTGAGTTATTTCACTTAAATTTTTTGAGTAAGTTCATTTCTATCATAGTAAGCATGTTTAGAGTCTTCCGCTGAGTCAGTAAGCCAGGCCAAGGGTTCTCTTGAGGCGAGCAATGGTCTTCAAGTGTCAGTCTCGCCCAGGGTGTAGGCTCGGAGTGTGACATACATGTGGATTGTCCTCACCCCTACTTCTTGTATCCTTTTGATGCAGATTTTAGTTAGATTGATCTTCGCAGCGGCTGATCAGATCTAGTGATTTCTTTTAATTCAGAGTTGTGGTGAAATCCTTCTTTTCAGATTGTCATTGGTCTCCATCTATCATTTACAGTATTTAATTTACTTTTGAAACTTAAGATGTATTATAGAATCTAGAAATGTATTAGATGCTCTTTATACTTATGCTATCAGGTTTTGGAAACTTCTTTATTGTTTCTTATCATTTCCTGACTTCCCTTTAGAAGTCTCGTATGCGTTATTTATTTAGACTTACACACAATTTTGAGGTTCTCGAGGTGTGTGACATCATGACTTTAATTTTTGGAATTGTGTCACACTCAAACTGATTGTATTATTCTATGTAAGACATGCATTATGCTATGTGTAAGACGGGTGTGTCTACTTGTTCAACTAAATAGAAAATTAAATGCCTACATGTGCGCACATAAATTAGAGGACATAGATATCAGCTGAGAAAACTTAAAGACCACGTTAATGTATTGTGTCTTAGAGACAAGTGAAACTTAATGTATGTAATATTAAAATAACAATCATAAAAAATAACATTAGGTTTTGCAACAAACTTTTAAATTATAATGCTATTGAACTTAAATAAAAATCTATAAATACAAAGATTAAAAATAATTATTATATATATAATAATAAAAGATGTTATATAGATGGAGGATAAAAAATAATTAGGGCAAAATAGATTTTCCATATAATAGAGGGAGGAGAATGATTATTTCTCAAAATTGAGGGGGGAAATGTTGATTTTTAAACCAAAACTTGGGGAGTGTAAACGATTTTCACCCTATAACTAATTCATCTTCATTATTTTTTGGAAAATCATGAAGTGCATTGCGTAGCTTCAAAAGAGATTTCGAATTAATTGTTGTTTCATGTGAATAGTCAAATGTATTATTTGGAGAATCAAATGGAGAAATTAGTTTTTCCTCGCACTGCAGTATTTTTGGCAAACTCTTTTTAAATACTATGAACTATGTTGACTTATTATAATTTTCATATATTTTTAAAATATGCAAATGTTATAAAATGGATATCCACATAAATATATTTTGTGTTGTAATATGCATGTATACATAATATACTTTGTGTTGTAATATGGATGTTCACGCAGTATACTTTGTGTTGTAAAGTAGATATACATACAATATACTTGGTGCCCAAGTATATATATCCTTCTTTTTGTAATAAAGAAAAAAATGAAATGGCTTGGGAGACTCCTGTACTTGGCTTTGTTTGTAAGTTGGACCTTCATACTTATCAATTTGTCAACTAAATTCTTAAACTCATTAGAACACACATTTTAAACCTTTTTTTCATCTGACTAGTGTGCGTGAAGTACAATTGATTACACATGAAATTCCACGTCCTTTTTACTGACACGTAAGAAATTACATGTTAAAAATTAAAAAAAAATCAATTAAGCCACTTTTGTAATTTCTAAAATATTTCCAGATAAGCATGCTCTTCATATTTACTCACAAATTGAACACTAAATTCATGTCAAATCGATAAAAGAATTTCCCATTTGATTTGAAATTTCAAATACAAGTTCAACAACACAAATTCAACTAACCCCAATCACAATTTTGAATTAATTTCACAGATTCACAGACCCATTTGTTATTTTTCAAGCTTTCTCTAACTTATTAATGTAGTTTTAAATTTTTCAATATCTACCATCATCCTTCATGTTAATCCATACTTAGACCTCTCTTTTTTTAATCCTAATAACATGAATAATAATCTCAATACTTTTAGACTAAAAAAACTAAAATTTAAAAGGGTTAGGAGAGGGGCAGATCAAAGTGGTTAGGGTTAGCGGTTGATTAAAGTGTGGGTTGAGGAGGAAGTGGATGAAGAAGAGAATGAGGAGGAGGAGGGGGGTG